AAGTGGCAATTCGAGACACTCTTGATTGAATTGCACTTGTGGTCCATAAGGATTGCTAGTTTTCAAAAAGTTTTGAAGGCACGTGAATGACAACCCTTACCCTTAAAAGCCGGGTAAATCGAACTCCCAGGGGCAGAAGCAAGGATGACTACTTGGAGGTTCATGGGTAGTTAAAAGTATGGTTACAAGTCCCCTAACATGGGTTATAACTATAGTTACCTTACTTATAACCCCACCTATAACTACCCATAAACCTCCAAGTAAGCCCTAAACCCCTAAACCCTACACCCTGACCCCTACCCTAAACCCTAAACCCTAAACCCCTAAACCCTAAACCCCTAAACCCCTAAACCCTAAACCCCTAAACCCTAAACCCTAAACTGGAGGCCCAGGACGAGGAGGAGCAAGAGCTGGAGCGGGAGGCGACGCCAGAACGGGCTGTCAGCGCTTTTGCCGAGGGGTGCCGTCCTGAGACCCAAGGATACCGGGCTGTATACGGGTTTGGGCTTCAGGTTTAGGGTTTGGGTCTATTATTGTTTAAGGGCCAAGGATGACGGCTTTAGAGGGTTATTATGGGTTCGCCTCAATTGTGGCTTAGATTCCATAGATTTCAACCACGCCGCCCCACATTGATTCTGTTTTTGTCTAAGGTTTTGTAGTGGTCCCAACGACAACTTCTTCCACACAAGGATCTCTCAACCAAGGGTTTGTCTGGAACCCGGCACCCCCGAAAGCAAGATCCTCAAACAGTACCAAACAGCCATATACTCCTCCACAAGCCAACCTAGATTGCTATCATCGCCTGTGATCATCTACTGTCCAAACTTCAAGCACTTGATCCTTGGGTCCTAATTGAGCCCTTGAGTATGTTTTGCTGTCTTTTCCCTCATTGGGACCTTCTTCGTGCCTTCTAACCGAAGCGCCTGCTGAATGCTCAAGAAAGCTGTAAGCAGGGTTACTGCTGTGTAGACGCTTAGGGTCCTTGTGTTCTCGGGTTTGCCGCTCAGGGTTTCTGTTTCGTGTTTCTTGTTGAGGGTTCGAGTTTCTATAGGGTGCTGTAATGTACTATAGGGGTTGTGGAGAATTTACCCATTGTGTTCACTGAGGAAGTATACTGAATTATGGTTGGAACAGGAGATGGCAAGCAGAGTTTGCCAACAGAAACTGATGGTTGGATAGCAAGGCCTGCTGAGCATTAGCAACCGCTGGCAAGCCTTAGTAGAGCCCAGCAAGCCCTAGCAGTTTGGCTTGTTCCTGAGGGTTGCAAAGCCCCGCTAAGGCCAAGTAAGGACTACAGGGCACACCGAGGCAAGACGTTGGCTTTGAGCGCTCGTGAGCACTAGTCACTAGTACCGTCCAGCAGTGCTCTCCGAAACTTGTACTGCTGAGTGCTAGTGAGCACCAATGAGCGCTGGTGAGTGCTGGTGGGGCCATGTCAAGTTTACGGCGGGGCAAACAGAGTTTCAATGGCTCCAAACCAAGTATACTCCATTTGCCCTCCCGCTAAGGGGGGGGGGGTCCCTCTAAATCGCAATACATATACTACACAGTCTACTCCGAGACCACGAAGGCGCCGGAATCCCAGAATGAAACCTAAGTAGCCCTTATGATACGGATCCCAAAATAAGGCAAACCCTCTAGCACCGACGCCATTTTGACTTGGCTCTGTGGCGTGAGACTTGCGGCTTAGAAGGTTCAGATCGTCGGATTTCGGGCTCTTTTGGCGACCATGTGTTTAGGGTTTAGACTTTAGGGTTTAGGGTGTAGGGTTTAAGGTTACGGGGTGTCTGCGACCCCCCCAAAGCTGGGACTGTTTGGTAACGCTTGTAAGTTAAGTCCCCTTAGAAAGCCCCGCACCTACACCCAGAGGGTCCACACATACTACCATCATGGAATTGGATCCGAAAGACTTTCCTTGTCAGAGGTTTTTTGGAGACCTAGTTCCATAGAAGTAGCATCTGTGGGTGGCTGTCCAAATTAAGATTTTTTGGGGGGTTCTCAACCTGTGGAGCGCTGTCTGAAGAGTGAAATTAGACAAGGCTCCCCAAGGTAGACCATGAGTTGGACATCTATCATATTCTTAAACCCTAAACCCTAAACCCTAACCTAACCCTACATCATGGACCCTTTAGGACACAAGTGCTATGCAGGGGGGATACCGTGTGTTCTGCTCCGCGGCTTAGGTCCGACATCAGTGTATCCATGAAGCTCCACAGCGTCGCCATTGAGGTTCCCGGTTCTCTGGCTTAGGCTTCAGGGTTTAGGGAGCCTTATGAAGGGTATACCTCCAAAAATCCTATTCTAAGTATGAGGGGCCTCTTATGGCCCCTACATGGGAATCAGGGCTAGGGCACGATAGCTTTTCGTAACAACACCAATACACCCCCGTCCCAAGTCCCTCGGCCTATATTTGCATAGCAAACTCAACCCCAGAGGAGTTGTTTAAGTTCGGGTGCAGCTTCGCAATCGTTTTCTCATGCCTTACGCGTGCATGACGCCCGTGATTTCGATTTCTTCTGATCCAGCGCATAGCGTGTGCTCCATGCTTGTGTACATGAGCAGGGTGTGGCCCAGCGAAACATGAAGGAGAAAATTCCGGATTCGGTTTCATAGTAATTACCTTAGAGCTGAAAGCCTTTGGTTAAAATTCGTGTCTTCTGTTTAGTCCTGAGATCGACAGGGGGGGACAAACCGAAACCTGAAATCCGAAGCTCTAAATCCTAAAACCTAAACCCTGAATCTTCAGTGCACTGCAAGGGTGGTAGCAGGGGCATGCCCAAGTCGTCCTAGAGTGGTCTATGTGGCTTCTGTAATGGTCGCTTAAGGCTTCGATTCTTCAGTTTCGGGTGTTAGGGAAGCTAGATGTCATTTGGCTCAGGGCTAGAGGCATGAAATCAAGCTTTCTCTTGACTTGGGTTGCCGACATTAGTGATGGCCATGTGTTTGACTTACTGATATGCATGTTCTCGGGCTCGACGTGTGTTTTTTGAATGCTTGTTCATTCGATTATCGTCGTGTGACGTTCGCTTTCCACGCAACAGTCGCGAGAAGGCTTGGGAAGTGGCCACGACGGCTTCCCGCCTGTGTTCAAGTACCTGGAAACAGACAAGAGTTCAGAACTTTCCGCAACCTGACACACTGAAACCTTAGTGTGGGGTTCAGGGTTTAACTTGAAAACTTGTAAGCCCTAAACCCTAAACCTTAGACCCAGTTCATAGATCCCTAAACCCTAAACCCTAAACCCCCCCCCCCCCCCACACCAGGACACGAAGAGCAAGTCGGAGATCCTCTTGTCCGCTGCCCCGACGAGGGTTTACGGGTTTAGGATTACAGGGCGTCCTACGGTTGATGATATACATCCTGCATGACCCATAATGAGGAATATACCATAATTACCATAGTTTAGGGTCCTTAAGGTAATGCAGGATTTTGATCATCAACAGTATCAATAAACGCTGGAAAGGGCCATGGGTACCGGTTTTTGCTTGGTTGTGTGTTGTGTGTTTCTTGGTGCGTTTGGTTGTCCTTTTTTTTTCCTCCGCATTTTGGCTTATGATTTCTTTTATAGAGGTCTCCGAACATGTATTTGTTGCTCACCTTCTAAGGGGAGTCGAGGATCGGGTTCCTCAAAGAACTCTGCACAAAAATCTTCGTCCGAGTAGGGTCGTTTTAAGTCCTTCTTTCCAGGTCGCACTAGGGAAAGCCGCCGAATACTACCCTAAAGCCTAAACCCTAAACCCTAAGTTACTACGTGTTCAGGAGCATATCCTGAAGTTCAGTTTCTTCGGCTTTGCGTAGAAGTCTCAAGGAGCTTGAACAGCCTGTCAGCGCCTGTTACTTAAACTTCCCAGAAACCCGAAACCATAAAACCCTAAACCCAAACCACTTGCAGTTTACGAACTACGGTTGATGATATAAATCCTACATGACCCGTAATAAGGAATATGCCATAATTCCCATAGTTTAGGGTTCCTTAAGGTGATGCCGGATTTATATTATCGTCAACAGTATGCCAGGAAATGATACCCAGGCCTATGAGAAGACATGAGGACACGATTTCAAGGACTAACTACGGTTCAGGGTTTAGGGTTTAGGGTTCAGGGTTTAGGGTTTAACGTTTTGAAGGACTAAATTGTGGGACTCCTATCCCAAACCTTAAACGCACGAGCTGCAGAAGACTCAAAAAGGCCACCCCCTACGGCTGATGATCTAAATCCTGCATTACCCATTGTAAGGAGTATACCGTAATTCCCATGGTTTGGGGCCCTTCAGGTAATGCAGGGTTTGATTTATATCATCAACAGTATTTCCGATTCCCGTAATTACGCCCAGCAGCATGCAGCACGAGTATTGGGTTCTTACGACCCTTACGTGCTTTAAGAACGTTCCAAGATCCATGAGATGCAATCAACGCTTATGTCTAGGACATTTTCAGGTGGGTAGTTACCGTTATAGGAGCCTTATAGAAGGTCTATATACCTTATAGAAGCCTTATGGAAGCCCTATATACCCTAAACTCACCACCTGTACTTTCCTTTAACTATGAGCTGCTTACAGCATTCCTGGTCCTGCTTAGCTGGATCGAGGTGGACCTGCACGACCGACACCTGAGTCCTGAATGGGTTTCCAACCAGGTCCCTAGAGACTCCAATATCCCATAATTAAGGAGTATACCTTAAATCATATTAGGGATCCTACTATATGTTTAAGAAAAGTTCCTTAATTCTGGGATATTGGAGTCTCTGGGTCATGTACAAGTTCTCCGAGAATTCAGAAGGGTATGTCGAACTCTCACATCCATGTACCTATATGGTATGCAACATGTCTTTACATTGGCCCTAAACTTACTACATAGGAACCTGTGCACGGCCAAGGTATATACTGTATAGGCACTGGGCCCGTGGGTTAAGCCTTATTTTTTCCTAACTTTTGGCTTAATTGGCTCAAAGAGCAGCATACGACTGACTTAGACAGCTTCTGTTCGATAGTCTCCAAGCAAGATGACGCAGGCTCTTCCGCAGGAGAAGGCACCACTCTCCCCTTCTCGCTTGCAGAGACAGTCGAGCTCCACAATGAAGATCCGTGAGAGAGCCGCGACCATCCGGAAGAGCTTTCAGCGACCGAAATTCTGGGTGACGGGCTTTGGCTGGTGCTTGGCTGCATGTGCGGGCGCTGCCAACACCATTGCTTTCAAGTGCTGGATGCTCTACGCATCCCATGTGACAGGCAGTACATCCAACATGGCCTTCCGGCTCGAGGGCTACCAACAAGGTGAGTACGGCTCTGAGTCGCTGAAGGAGGCCTGCTCTTTGGTCTTGTCCTTCCTGGTAGGGGCATATGCCTGTGGGGTCCTCATCGACAAGAATCAAGTGCACTTCATGGGCAAGGCGTTTTATGGCCTGGCCCTGGTGCTCAACTCCGCGCTCTTGATCACGGCGGCATTTATCCCCGGTCGCCTGGTGCCAGCATGCTTTGTGTCCGCGGCCTGTGGCTTGCAAAATGCCATGTGCACGTCGCACTTCGGCGCAATCATCCGCACAACGCATGTCACTGGGACGGTCACGGACATCGGCTCGACGATGGGCCGCATCAGCATGATCTANNTCGTTGTGCACCCCTGAATCTTTGTCCTATGTTTGAGTAACATTTACCATTAATTTATGAATACTCAAGCTCAACAAGGAACGGACATTTAAGCATTTTTAAAAACTATCCCAGCCATGAGCTAGGAATGACATTGACCGTGCTGAGATCGGCGTTGATGCGAGGAAGTTGGCCGTGCTGGCAGGATTGTGGAGTTTCTACCTGATCGGAGG